TAGGTGACAGTGTTGTTTTGGGGAGAAGAGGAATACTTGCTGATCATGGTTGCAGGCCCTTGGCTATTTAATATTTATCGTGCTGAAAGTCACAGACTGCTCATGACAGTCTCTACCAGTGAGAGGAAATTGATCTGTTCTTTCTTTTCCCTGCTTGTGTGCATGATTTAAGGATAGGTTTCTATCCCCATTGTGCAGCCTGGCTCACAGACTCAGTAGTATGCTTTGAGCTTCCAGAACATTTTATAATAAAATTGCCTTCTCTATCTACCCACCATTTCTGGGATCTTTAACCATCTCAGACCCAGGTTATGTGAATTCGCTAAGTTTTGTTTGAGAAAAGGTGTAGCATGTTTGGTTGGAGGTCTTGAGGCAGAACCCTCCCCCTTATAATGATCTAAGACCAAAGAGCCCTAAGGCAGCAGGAGGGTGAGGGGAAATATGGAGTCCTCAGCCTTTCTTCACCTTTATTTCGATCATAAATTTTAATTGTAAGATTGGAAGATACAGAAAGCTGTTAAAGACCATGTCAATAGTATATAATTAATCCAGGTAATTTGAGAATAAAATTTGGCTGTATTTGCTACATCTAGATGCCCTAACATAACATCTTGGTTCTCTAGCAAAGAACATGCTGCTCTAACCTTGCCTTCTCACTTGGGACAAACTTTCTACCTACCAGAAACTACCATTTGAGACAAATGAGTTTTCTTCACAAAGGGCTTCTGCAGCTCCCCGCTCAAGGCAAGTCTACCTGTTTTGTCCATTTTTATTCTTGGGAACATCAGTTGTGCATTTCTGAAGCCTTTGATCCTTAGGAAAGTTAATAACAACCTCTCAGTCTTAGTGAATCTTTGGAGCCCAAGAGAGTTACACTTAATTTTCGGCAGGAAAAAAAAAATTTGTTGGATGAGCTCACATCTGGGATGTTGAGAGAAATTCCATAGTGCACTTCTTCCATCTCTGCTTCATGTGTGTTTTGAGTAAGCCATTGGTAGAGTTTGGTTCCCAGCTGTTGAGTCTCAGCGCTTCCTCAGCCAGGGTGGTTCACCGCCCTTCAGGAAGAAGAACTGTGAGCACCCAAAACTGTATCAACTGACCCTGTCTATTTTCTATGTTTTTCAGTGTCTTGTTTTGAAGAATTGGGGTGGGGAAATGGTAGGTGAGATTCAAAATGAAAGAGAAATCAGTTCTGGAACTGGGGTGCTTTGCTTCAGGTATAAGCATCTGTCCTGAATATATAGAAACAGCTGCTTCACAAGTGAGTAAATTTACTTTCCTCTCCATCTGTTGAACTCCATGCCCTTCTTACTGGCAAGGAGGGCTTCTTCTTTCCACAGAGTCATCTTGATGGGGACCGGCACCACTGAAAGAAGCACCAATGCTTCCAAGCCTCTTCTGGGCATGGTTTTCACCAGGGTGAGGGAAAGTAGGCAGTAAATGCAAATTCCCAGCTCAAGAGATGGGAGAAGAAAGGCCCAGACGCATACTTTTTCTCTTCTGCCAGACCCCAAGAACATAGGGAAATCTTTGGAGCAATGTCTTTTATTAAAGTGGAAGGAGAAAACTTTGTGCCACTAAGTTTCACTTGTTGTTGTCTCTTACTACTAACTACTATTTCTTATTAATTTGAATCTGTACCATACTGCTGCTCTCACACGTATGTTTCTTACCTTAGCTTAACCTTCCTCAGCGCCTGAAATCATCATTCTATTTTGTTTCTTTTCTTTTTCTTTTCTTTTTCTTTTTCTTTTTTTTTTTTTAACGACACTAGTGAATGAGACCTTAAAGTCTTAGAAAATCCTAACTTGAAAAGGAGGCTCTAACTGGCGTGGTTTGATTAATTTATCTCACCGCCACCACCACCACCACCACCACCAAAAAAGAATGATTTTTCTTTCCTAGTGCTATATAATAGATCTATAATAAGTGAAACCTTTGCTGCTACTTTCTTGGGTTTACAACAGTTTTCTCCTTCCCTTAAGAATAATTTCTTATCTATACTTCTCTAATGACTGTTAATTTCTAACACATGCAGAAAGAAGCAAGCCTAAGATTTCTAATCTTACTTCCCTTCTCATCCTACCCCAAAATTACAGACTAACCTCTATAAGATCTGTGGGGTGGGACTCATCAGAAGCCACCTGTGTATTTTCTCACCATGCTGCATCTCTCAGAGCTGGCCCCTGAGGCTCTGTGGCTGCCCAGTGCTGAGGGTTACTTCTTAATTTTGCCTTTCTCCATTTCTGTTTTATGACTCAATCTTCAGATGCCTCCTACTCTGGCCACCTCCTTTTTCTTCCCAAGTAACCTGCCTTGGGCATTTCCTAACTGCTCAGCTCCTCACCTTTGCCCACCTTCCAGTGACCCTGAGAGCACAGACCTGAGAAACATGGCTTGTGCAGAGCTCAGAGAACTGTGAGGACACCCTGCCCATCAAACTCTGCTCGGGGACAGAGATGAATGGGTGAATGGTGCTGTGGGAGAAATTTTTGTCTTCAGACCAGTCTCTTTCATCCCTGTATCACCACACCCCCATCCCAGGCCCTGAGGGGGTAATATGCAGTGGATGGTTGACTGGCAGGGTCTGATCCCAAACATCTGCTGTCTGGCCTAAGCCTTCCCTAGCCTTTTGGCCTATCCTGGAGTGCTTCAGTGTGTGGGAGCTGCTGCTTACTGTTTCTCCACCAGGCCTGTCCAAAGCTTAGCCAGTCCCTGGGGCCAACACAGTCCCTACATGGTGACTTAACACCAGGTTCCACTACCTGTCCACGTGACTGTGTTTCCACCCAATACTTTTGGCGCTTGAGATTGTGGGGGAGGGAGGGTTATTTAACATAAAATCCAAGGTGGCAGTAGAGGATTCCTTTTGCTTTAAAATCTTTGGACTTA